AGTGCTGCCTACCGTAGCGACGATAGTCAACCTTGGACAGAAATGTATGTATACACACTGCCACTGCACTACAAAGTGTTTTGGAATAAGCTGAAATTATCGTGAATCGTGAACCTTTTGACCATGGACCATGTCCCATCCCTCCCAGGTACTACGGATGGATCGTGATAAACTACACCGTCTACCAAAGGGAGCGTTTCAACTCTGACATGTGCGAACCTTACTGCAGCCTCATCACTGTTTGTCAGACATCAATAGTTTGTATCACACCAGATATGTTATGTGCGAGCACCACGCCTAACCCTGTCTAACGGCTAACGGCCTCACGATTTTGCGATTGCATTAGTTGTTCTTTCAAAAGAACGCATTGATGTTTTTTGCCCAAGAACACTCCCTTTGCTCCAAAAAAGTAGCTCGACCTGAGGATACCCTTCGACTTCTACAGCCAAGATTTTCATGGTTATTCCACCGCGATTCCAGCCTCTTGGTGGCTAGAGTTTTGATGGATCTACTTGCGGATAATTTCAGATTCTTGATGTGTGAAGTGTGAAGTCCTTGTGTTTTTAGCGCTTTCGTTCCTCTACCTTGACTGGAATTGAGTTTCGATTCTTTGTATGTAGGCTAACAGAGTCCAGAACAGTTCCTAGCCTTTATGATAGATGATGTGTCAGAGCACAAACCAGACTTGATACCAGAACAAGAGTCAGAACATTGTGTCAATCCGCATGTTCGCCTTTGCCAGGCTAGTTTATCAATACATGTGCCCTGCCTTCTTCCAAATCGCCTCTCAGGGTGGATTTCTTTGTATGTGTAGACCAAGAACATCCAGCATGTCCCAAGACGTTGAAGCTGCCAGGTCATCTCGGGCTTGCTGTCAGGGGTCACCTACTTTGAAGGGCTTTGGCACTCAGAGATGGCACCATTCATACACTAGATTGTGACTTCCAAAGCACAAACATTGTCAGTATTTAGGACCTTTTTGTTCTTGTGCCAAATCTGTCCAATCTTGAAGTCTTGTCTCAAACCAGGAGGGCCCATGCATGTGAACCCTGCTTTGGAGCTTCAGAGTGCTTGTAAGCCGGACTTGTAGGAAAAACTGTTTGTGTAACGAAGAGTGGCCATGGTGCGCATCAATCATTAGATCTCAGAAGCACCCCTTATGTGGTCAAATTTGTTAAGTTGAAATATTGGCAAGGATGTGCAAGGAATACGTCAGCTCGTTCCACAAGTTTAGGTGAATGAACTAAAGCGGGCTCTCTCAGTGACTCATAGTCCTTTCTTCTACCAAGACTGTCCTTATCGTTGCACAGATCATGAAATCGGAGTCGACTGCATTGGCTCTAGGGATCTTGCAATTTCCGCATGGAAGGACACACACTGAATTCTTTCAGGCTTTGCTTTGAGTCTAAGACTGGAGTTTTTGGCCAATAGTGCCCTGGAGATTTGAATGATTTTGGATGTACTCTGATGAATTTCAGGACATTGGGGTTGCTAGAGCGATTTCTGTGAAAGGCCTCTTGATGCCGTGGTTTGGTACTGCTAGCCAAATTGTTGTTTTTTTGACTTGCCACCAACCAAGATGAGCCCTTAAGCCCTCCGTCCATGGTTCACCTGAGACAAGGTACCTCGGTCTGCCCGTGTGCAACGTCCTAGAGAATCGCCACGTGGATGTTAAGCAGGCCGGCCGGCCATGACTTCACCCGAAGCTGTTGGGTATCACAGGTTGCGAATGACCACTTGCGGGCAAGATTGTCCACCCTCCCAGTCCTTTCATGTCCCTGTCCTACAACAGGAGATTTGAGAGTGGTACCCAGTATGCAGTTGTGAACCTTGGTGATTGGTGAGTCATTCGCATGTGAGACAGCGCTCTTGCTGCTGTGCATCGCCCCTGTGGCGGTGAGAAGCTCAGCTGCTTGATTTCACCCGGTAGTAGATGTATGAAGTGCTAACTGATGCTGCAGATCAATCCCACCACACATGCTATCTCATGCTATAGCTGCTAGGCACATGCAAACTGGGTTGTCGATGAAGCTCAGGTTCTCTCCTTTGCCTTCTCGATCGAGGGCGCCAGGCGTAGCTCGTTTGCAAGCCTTGGCTAGTTTCTGTGGCCAACTCTGAGTGAAGGGTGGAGAGATGGAGATGCGAAGGGTGGAGAGACTTGGCAGGTGGTTCAAGAGAATGCTTTAGCAAGGTAGGCAGAGCGCCTGACCAATTGTGGAGCAATGGATTATTCAAAGCAGTGACAGCTGATGTCGTTGCGAGAGCTTTGCGCCCTTCGACCACGGTTGTCCATAGCACTATCAAAAAGTTCACAGGATTGTGAGCAGGTTTGCGACACGCTCAAGCTTCAAAGCTTCAATGAACACTAGTTCACCAGTGAGTCACTATATAGTGACTTGTGGTCCGTTCACTAATCAATTTGCAAAGGAGGCAGGCTTCACAGGTTTGAAATGATCATTTTTGCCGAGCCTACCGCTACTTTGCATGAGGCTGGGACTGCCGATACTTTGTGCCCTTCTCTTCCACTGTAGGCGTGGCGTGGTATTGTGCTACTGGGCCAAAGAAGGAGTCGACATAGGAACACATGCCCAAGCATTTGGAACCTTTCTTTTGCATGCTATCAATGGAAAGGCTATGGAAAGGCCCCTTTGATAACTTGGAGAGTGAGTCATATGTGTTTGTCCATGTTCAAGTAACCTTATGCGGATTCTCTCATTTCATGAGGAGCGCCCAGTTTGCACATGGCCTTTTCAGCGGCAACACCATTTTTAGGGTGCAAAATGCAAGTACTGTACGCTGTTTCATGACGGGTACAGTATCGTTTGGCTTTGTAGCAACTCAGATGGTTTAGGCCCAGGGTGGAGGCCTGGTCAAAGATGGGACGCACAGGATATTATCTCCATATTTTCTGCCGATGCAGTTCACTTGAAAGTGCCATGAGGAAACTCTTCAGAGCTGGAAGACCGTGGTAGACTGGAAAAAAATTCTTTCTATGCAAGTCTTCGGGATACTTGTGGCCTTTGACTACCTGCATACAAAGTCCAGAGTCCAGAGACCATGATGATCATGATAATGAATAGTGTGTTGCTTGCCTTGGAAGCAATATCGAGGACATTTTGCAGGAAACATTGCTTGCATACATTTCTTGAGGGTCAACGAGAAGTGTTTGGTCCTGCTCGGGCGCTGCGCTTTGGAAGCTGGCCATGGTGAAGCCCAGTGAAAAGCTGCTCCAGGAACTGCGAGCATATATGGAAGAGGAGGCACTGGTCGTCACCCGCTGGTTGCGCTCGTGGGCTTTTGGGGTCTTTAGAGAGTCGTGGTCGGCCCACGGCGCCAAGATGTGGAAGAAATCGATGTAGGTATATGGTGAGTAGATACGGCAGGAGAAGAAACAAGGCTGCCAAGGCTTCAGGCGTCACGAGTCAGTGAGGTGAAATCCTTTCCACATGATTTATACTTTTTTTGCAACCTGATGCCCTGAGTGCCGCGCACGAAACTCAGCACGAACGAAGTGAGCCGAAAGAAGAGCGAATTAAGCAGCGAAAGCCGGGATTGATCCCAAACCAAAAAGGAAGACGCACAAGTTTACAAGAACCACCTGGGCCCGGGCCTTTGGAAGAGCGAGTGACCGAGTCACATGACTGAATGGAAGCATCAATGCACAAGTAAGTGACTCTGTGGGATGAGAGAGGCTTAAAAAAACCGACGACACCAGCGAGCTTGCCAAAAATGCAACTCACGAAGGTTGACGCAGTGAGGATAAGAAGTAAATTGATGTAAATTGACCCTGACCAAACCTTCGGAACCTGACTTTGAAATACTTTGAACTGGTCAAGGTGAAATTGAAGAGTCAAATCCGGAACATTCCACTCTGATTTATACTTGCATACTGATTTATTGATCCTCGTCTTGTTCACCACCAGTGATGTAATCAGCCTCAACCTTAGCCTTAGCCCAATCCATATCAGGTTCATCCAGGTCCACTCACGTGTTTCTTTTTTCAGAGCTGGTCATTGACCCAGTAGTGAAGCGTCCGAGATACAGTATACACTCCTCGACGCAAACATAGAAGTGGACACTATTCTTGCTATATACATATATACACAGGAGTACAGCAGTTGCAGAAGAATAAGAACTACCCTGAAACTCAGAGCACAAGAACATACAGATGATATCGGCCACGACACATAGACCCCTTCAGAGTCATGGTTAAGGTATGTTTATGTAAGTTGCGCTTTGGGTTCGTGTTTGGAACCTGAGTGGATCATTGGGTCGAGGACTTCCTGCTGGAGGTCTCTTGCTGGGCGTGGGAATATTGCATGAAGCCCCTCAGATCGCGCAGTGAAGAGGGACTCTGGATTTTGCGAGCTAGGATTTGTACTGAGAGTTGTGAGGAGGCCTTGAACAATAGGCAAACCGTGGATTTGATTGATTTGCAATGATTTGCATGATCGCCCTGCAGTTCTCCGCTGCCCCTATTTCTTCAGGCGCACGGATTAATTAGTGTCAGCTGCGGTAGGCTCCTGCCCAGCACAAAATATTGTCATCCCAAGAGTCTTCGCATTCCTTGGACGGGCTACTTTGTCAAAGCACAAATTCAAGCCGCACACTTTTGAAGGATGTTGAAGGGAGGAATCCCACTGTCACAGAGACAAATTCACTAGAGTAGGGCTCACAGTCTGATGATGTTCTTGTCACTGAGTCATACTTTTTGCTTCTTTGTTTGTTTCCATATGTCTCCATTACTTTAATCTTGATTTTGATCGGAACTGGGAGATGAGGTAGTGATCTTTCTCGATCGTGAGGTTCCCCTTCGAGGCGCCCAGCCGCTGGGAGCATCCCTTGGAGTTCACTCAGCTGCATGCAGAGTACAGCGCCTCAGTCCTGTCCAATTTAGTGAACAACGGCCGATTGATGGGATTACTAAATGTCTAACGTGGTCTAATATTGGTAAAGGAAGAGACGGTGTAGGAATGTGCAAGAATTGATCTAGGCCATTCATTAGGACGGCTAATTACTATATAGTAGTAGTAGTAGTAGTAGTAGTAGTAGTAGTAGTAGTTGTTGTTGTTGTTGTAGTTGTAGTTGTAGTTGTAGTTGTTGTTGTTGTTGTGGTTGAAGACGTCGTCGTCGTCGTCGTCGTCGTCGTCGTGGATAAGAATTGATTTGAAGTTGTTCAACGAAGATCACTCTCAAAAAATGTTTGTGTGGTTCCCAAAGTATATAGGGTTGAAAGTCTCTAGGAGTTTCAATAGCTCAGGGACTAGCTGCACGGAAAGACTCCGAAAATCAACCATGCATGCTGGCGCCGAGGAGAGCTTTTCGAAGGCAGAGCCAATGAGTTCTGCGAACAGGACCCGGCCGGATTCAACTCCCTTCGCGTTCGCAAAGTTACATGCATACAAAATGTTCTTCTTGCTGCCATCGTAAACGGACAGTTGCTGTGAGTTCAAACAGCCTGTTGGAAAGATCCGCTGTGAGTATTGCCACAGTAGTGGTGTGGTAGAGTGCAGTGAGTATGTGGTGTGGTGATGTGTAGTGTGGTGACCCGAAATGGAGAAGAGCATTGTGATGGGAACGGTGGTGCAGCTGCGCAGTGTTGTGGAACGTCACGAAGTGGATCCTGGTGAGCTGTGCTCTGTCTGGTGATGCGTACTGCTGCCAAGTGCAATGTGAGTGGCGGCTTTGATGCGTGTGCCAGAAGCTGCAAATCCTGGTGCAATTGTGGAACAACACCTCCATACCCCCATGGCAACAACAACCTCCCTCGTCCCGACCCGGCGGCCTTTCCTCCACGCCGCATGCTGGCCCAACACCTAGGGACATTGTGTGGCTGGTATAAAACTTGGTTGCATGATGAACATCTCAAGATATTTAAAAAGAGTGTGTGTTCAATTTCTTGTCGCCAGTGTGTTGCAGCCGCCGTGTTGGACGTTTTTTCACATCCCTTTTTGGAGCTGCACCCTATAACGGTCTGGTTCAAGATGTCATGCCCTGGGTGCCTTTGCAAGAAACAAGAGGACATGAAATGGCTCTGGCACAGCCGATATGGTGAAGCCTTGAACCCTGGACAGTCTTCTATTAAACATGCCATTTTGGTGTAAAACCACCAAACACGCTCTCAACACGCAAGGAGGGATTGGACATTCAAGAACTCCTGCAGGGGGTGGCCAGCAGTCTGCGGGAAGAGCCTGGAGACACGCGGGTTCCTTGATCATGAGCAAAGTGCGAATACAATATATTGTGTTAAATGAAGACGGATGAAGGGGAATCATCTGAAACTTATAACAACTTATTAAACATTATTAAACCATACTAGTACAAGTAGTTCCCGGGCAAGCCGGCGGCGGAAGTTTCCTATAAGAACAAATTGACCTATAGGAGTGTCCACGTTCTCTCCAACATGCGCGTCCTCCAGTCAAACCCACGGGATTCCACGTGTGTAAGGTGTGTGCCCCCTGCAGGATCAGCAGCTCACAACAGCGTACTGGGTTGTATCTTTGCCACGACAAGAGGGGTGTATGACGAGTGGTGTATGATGAGTGGTGTATGACGAGTGGTGTATGATGAGTGGTGTATGCTGAGTGGTGTATGATGAGTGGTGTATTGACCAGCAGTTGAATGTCCTGTCCTGCATAAATGCAACCAAATACTATCAGTATGAACTGTGCCAAACCTGCACGCCGCGAGAGATGACTCAGCAGCGAGAGATGACTCAGCCGCGAGAGATGGCTATAGCGAGAGCTGACTCAGCAGCGAGAGATAATTGAGCAGCGAGAGATGACTCAGTCGCGAGAGATGACTCACAGCAGCGAGAGCTGACTCAGCAGCGAGAGATGACTCCTCCGCGTACTACACTTGTACTACAAAGTGGCCAGTTCTCAGCTTCCAGCTCCACAGGTTGTTCCGCGTGCTAAAGTTGTACTAGAAAGTCGCCAGTCAGTTCTCATCTTCCAGCTCCCCAGATGCTCCGCGTAAAGTTGTACTTGAAAGTCGCCAGTTCTCAGCTTCCAGCTCTACAGATTGCTCCGCGTACTAAAGTTGTACTAGAAAGTCGCCAGTTCTCAGCTTCCAGCTCCACAGATACTCCGCGTACTAAAGTTGTACTACAAAGTCGCCAGTTCTCGGCTTCTAGCTGCACAGATTGCTCCGCGCACTAAAGTTGTACTAGAAAGTCGCCAGTTCTCAGCTTCCAGCTCCAC